CATTTCTTTCATTCCAGTTTTCATTGTCTGTGCCTCGCAGATTTGTTTTAATTTACAAGTGTAGTACAAGTCAGGTAAAACACACATTTTGCTACAATTCTGTTTATTTGTAAAGGATGTGCACAAAATCCCATTCCCTAAGAAAACAGTAGAAACAACCAATAACATTTTTAACTTACTTGCAATGTCTCATTTTCTTTCAGCACTCAGGTCAATATTTCATATTTCTCCTGAAGTCTACACTCTTGTGACTGTTTCCTCTAAGACTCTGTCTTATTTGTTTTGATGATCTTAAGGCAGTCGTTCAACCCTGCATAAGATTCAAGAATTTTACATCCACTTGACTTTGACTAGGGTTAGACCTTCCAATACCCTTGGTATCTCTCTGCATAAATATATCTTTCACTTAACTTGCTGAATACAGAAACATTACATAGATCAGTGATAACTGCAGCTGAACAAGACAAAAGACTAAGAAGTCCAGTAAGATATACAGACATCCTTTAGCACATGTTAGTTGCCAATGAAATATGAATCTATTTCAAGACTTACTTTTATTTTGTGGGTTAATTGTACTAGATTTAAGTTCTCTCACCAATTCTTCCTTTTCTGCTCATAGACTTCATGTAAACAGCCATAAAATTATGTGGGTTGGAAGGAGCCTGTGGAGATTGTGTAATCTAATCTCCTTCCAGGTAAGGCAGGCTATGCAGGACCTGGTGCAGTCACATTTGGTGCATCACCAAGGATGGACACTTTACATGCTTTCTGGCCAGCTACTCTAATGTTTGTGTGTTTTGTTTTTCCTATATCTAGTCAGAATTTCCTGTGTTCCAACTTATGCTTATTCCTTCTTGTCTTCATGCTCTGCCCCTCTAAAAGCCACAGTGTCCTATAAGAAGCAGAACAGGTTACCAGTCTGAGTACCTGTGATTTTTATGAGGTGATTGTTATTACTGTAGCCTTGCATGCAGATATAGGTGTATTAGGGAGGATTCAGAACATACTGAATCTTGAAAACCATGACACCGTTGCAAGCTCAACAAAACTGATATTTATTACGAAGAGGTGGCCAACAAAACAAACAAACCCAAAAGAGAGGAAGGAGGAGAGAAATAAGCCCCCAGCATGACCTCCCCAGTTACCCAGTTGTTGCCCATAAAGTTATCTTACCGACCTAGCATCCCTATAATTACCCATAGCAGAGGCTGCATCCTTGGCGAGTCAGTAAGTTCACAAACTGGCAGGCGTCCCCACCAAAAGGCAACATTGTCCTTGGTGTGAAGCTAGCTCACCTCCAAGAAAGCACTGTCTGCTTTTATACAATTAATTGAGTGACCTCAGCCTCCCAGGTGTGGCCAGCACCGCCCAGCCAGAGGCCCTCAGTCCCACCCTCTTGGCTATGTAAGTGCATCCCTTCAGCACGAGAACTTTGGAAATCCCCTCACGCACGTGCAGTATGCCTTGGGGGTCTTTCTTAATTGAGTCGGGGGTCAAGCCTTCCTCCCTTCCTCTTCAATTTCTCCTTCAAATGCCCTTGGCAGACAGTGAACCAATAGTAGAACACCAATTGAAATAGTTAATACAGAAGTTCTCCCTCCAAGGACAAATTCACTGTTTTATCAGTGAACTTGGCAGGAAGAATATAAACTACTACAGGTGGCTGGGGCCAAACACAGACCGAAAGTATCAGCATAAATTCACCCTGCTACACACAGGGTTTGAATGATCTCTTGTGTAATTAAAATTTCTACCTCAAATTCTAGCATTATCCTTTAAAATTAAGCTTTTGAGACATAGTTATATCTTGTATAAAGACTTGAACTTAAGAAATACAGATTTCTTTGAATGTTAATTAACTCTTGCTCCTTTTGTATTCTACGTTTGCTCACTTCCTTGGAAGTTTTTAAGGAGAACTGGTGAACAAGTTGATCAGACAGATGGATAGGCAAGCAGCACTATTACAGATGTTTTAGTTTTGGAAAACCAAATTAAAATGCTAATTTTTCATTCAAAAATATATGTCTTTAAACCCACTTCTTAATAAAAAGAAACTGATGAATTTACTTTTTTTCTGAAAAATTTCTCTTTTCAAAGTGCAAAATTGGTATTAGATTTTGCAGTTTTTAAGGACATATAACAGAAGATTAGACTGTTCCAGAGAAAATTATGAATGCCTGAATGGGTTGTCTGTACTGCTACTCTGTTGCTAACCCTGCAAGGTTTTGTTGTGAGACAATTACTGATCTCCAAAAGAGCAGCTGGGCATGACTTGGAAACGAGCAGAGACCATGGTCCATTCTCAGTAGGCAGTTTTGGAAAGTAAAGAGGGTTTGGATAGATATACACAGTCTATTCTATATTGTTGGCCTTAATGGGAAAGAATAGTCATTTACCTGTTAAATTTTACTTGTACAGACTTTGACCTATTTTACCAGATAGAAATAAAACAACTCAATTCATGTAATTTATTATACATGATATTATATAATTTATTCCTGGTGGTTCTATTTTAGAGAGTGTCACAATTCCCAATACAGAATCAGTGACTCAATTTCTGATCTTGACAGTTTATTCCTTGTTGACTGCAGGTCAATGATGGCAGTGCTCACTTTACTTTTCTCACCTTGCCGTAATTAAAAGTAGAATTTGTTTATCAAAGGTCTTAAATCCTTCTTCTCAGCAGCTAGTAGTTGCTAATTCATCACCTTTGCTGGAATAGGAATGAGATACAGAATTACATTTGTGGACAGTACTGAACAGTTTGAATCCAACACCAGGAACCAGCTTCCTAAGTCTTATTCATTTGGCATCACAACGAACTCTGCATTCATTCATGCATTGAGCAGATGTGTTGTGCATCTGAATGTCTAGTCCGTGAAGATTTAGAGACTTGGGTACCTGGGTACCATCTGTACCATTTAGGGCCATCGCTATTCTTTTTGGATCTAAATTCCAGACATTTCAGTAGGGTAAAATTATAATTACCTTTAAGTGTTTTTCTTCTGATCTGTATAAGAATAACTAGTCCCCTAAGTTAGGTGTCTAGATTCTCAGTACACAAGTGTTTCAAACCATTATGTGAATTAGTTAACTAGCTGACCAAGGAAGCACCTAAAATCAAAAGGAAAACTGAACTGCCCAGAGCAAATGACTAGGTAGTATCCATTTCCTGAAGATCAAACGACGCCTTTAAAGTATTTCCAATGACACAAGCAGATCCTACTTGAGTCTTGAATCACTACAGAGTAAAAATAGAAGATAACAATGTCTGCTTTTTATACGTGGTTAGTACTGTATCAATATGCAGCAAATAATGTCAAATCCAGGGAGAAGAATTACTTCCCCAGCGTTGGCAATGTTGAAGGCAGCACGTGTTATTGTATTTTCAGGGAGACATGCCTTGCTGGTCTTGTACCAGCTGGGTTATGTCCCTCAGGAGATTTAGGCATACCCGTGTGACGCAGATGTATGACAGAGTGCAAGCTAAGAGGAGCAACCAGGAGATGCAGCGGTCTGTGCCAGTTTGAGCAGAAGGGAGCACAGAAGGGGACAGAAACTGTGGAGGATGGTGTACGCATACTCAGCAATGGTGGTGACCTCTCATGGAGCAGAAACTAAAACATCTTCCTGTGGCATCAAGGGAGGATACAGCTCTGCAGGTCCATGGGTGAAGGAATGCCTCGTTGAGGTGTCCTGGTTTCAGCTGGGATAGAGATAATATTTTTCCTAGTGGCTTCTACAGTGCTGTGTTTTTTATTTAATATGAGAATGATCTTGATAACACACTGATGTTTCAGTTGTTGCTAAGCAGTGTTTACAGTAAGTCCAGGACTTTTCAGCTTCTCACCCCACCCCACCAGTGAGTAGGCTTGGGGGCACAGTAAACTGGGAGGGGACACAGCCGAGACAGATAACCAAAGGGATATTCCATGCCATATGGTGTCATGCTCAGCATATAAACTAGGGGGAAAGCTGGCTGGGCACCACTGCTCAGGAACTGGCTGGGCATTGTTGGTAGGGGTGGGCAAGTGCATCACTTGTGTCATCATTGTCTTCTTCTTCTTCTTCTTCTTCTTCACAACAGCAACAACAACAACCACCACAACAATAATAACAACAGTTTATTTATTATCATCATAATGTGTCCAGCAGGACCAGGAAAGTGATTTTTCCCCTGTACTCAGCACTGGTTAGGCTGTACCTCGAGTACTGTGTCCAGTTCTGGGCCCCTCAATTTATGAAAAAATATTGAGGTGCTGGAGTGTGTCCAAAGAAGGGCAACGAGGCTGATGAAGGGACTGGAGAAAAAGTCCTATGAGAAGCAGCTGAGAGAGCTGAGGTTGTTCAGCCTGGAGAAGAGGAGGCTCAGGGGAGACATCACTCTCTACAACTACCTGAAAGGAGATTGTAGCCAGGTGGGCGTCGGTCTCGTCTCCCTGCAACCAGTAGTAGGACAAGAGGGCACAGTCATAAGCTGAGCCAGGGGAGGTTTAGGTTAGGCATTAGGAAGAAATTCTTTACAGAGGGAGTGATCAGACATTGGAATAGGCTGCCCAGGGAGGTGGTGGATTCACTGTCCCTGGAGGTATTTAAGAAGTGATTGGATGTGGCACTTAGTGCCATGATCTAGTAGGCAAGGTGGTGTTTGTTCAAAGGTTGGGCTTGATGATCTCAGAGGTCTTTTCCAACCTAGCTGATTCCTTCCTTCCTTTTCTGTCCTATTAAAAAGTCTTTATCTCAACCCATGAATTTTACCTTTCTCCCAATTCTCTTCCCTTCCTGCTGTAGAGGTGGGTGAGTGAGCTGCTGTGTGGTGGTTACTTGCCTGCCTGGCATGACATGACACGGGCTGGAGAAGATGGTGTCTTCAGCTGCAGAAGGTGTGCAGTGATAGAAGATCTGTGTCACCAAGTAAAAGAGCTGCAGGAGGTCTACAGACTGCATAGCATCAGAGACAAGGAAAGGAGTTTGATGAGATCTTTTCTAATACCTTGTAGCTGCAAGACCCTGAACTCCAGCTGTATGAAGAGAGGGGCAGGCAGAGCCAGTGGTGTCAAAAACCCTCACGATGGTGAAGGCTGCAAGATTCTGACTTCTGGTATCAGGCAAACAGCTCCTGCTCTGCCTGCAGTTCGGCAACTACAGATCAAGGTCAGTATTCTGGTTGCAGACAAGGGGCTGAGAGCTGTGCCTGAAGCACAACCCAAGCTTGCTGAGCCTTAGCCCCAGCAGCACACAAGACAATTGGTACACTCAAACAGAAGAAATTCTATTTAAATGTAAGAAAAAACTCACTGTGGTCAAGGTGGTCAAACACTGGAACAGTATGCCCAGGAAGTTTGTGAAATATCTATGCCTGGAGACATTTCAAACTCCAGCTGAACATGATCCTGAAAACCTGCTCTAGTTGACTTTGCTTTGAGCACAGGTTCATAGTAGATGATCTTCTGAGGCCCCTTCCAACTTCAGGAATTCTGTTTCTCTTTACCATAGTGGAAGGTTGTGAAGACATATCAAAAGAGGATAAATTAGTCAATGAGGAGCGATAAATTATGAGCTTCTGGTACCCAGACTAGTTCATTAAGAGGTACATATGACCTGTGTATTGCTGTGCAGGCACATTCATATGTGGAAAACATCTAGTTTTAGATCCAGAGGGAGCGTAAGGAAAGTCTAGTCAAGGCAGTTCTAGCCATAGATAAATGTGTGATTCAAGAAACACATTTGAATATTGCAAAAGAGAACACTTGGGGTATTTAGTCACCACCTAAATTAGGTGTAAATCAAATTTTTTTTCATGATTTTTTTAAATTTCAGTTCTTGAATTTTCTGTATATCCATACTTTAATTGCCTAAGATGCTCACCAGTTTCCGTCTTCAGGCTTAACCTTGCACAACCAACATAGAAGTGAAAAAGTTCACCTCCACCTCCAAAAGAGATTTTTTACTGTCTTTCTATACATTCCTACCTTTGAGGCCACATAGTTGCTGCTGTTCTGTACCAGCAGCCCTGCATTCTTAATTTGAATATGTATGTAAAATAGATGACCCTCACCTTCCCACAGCTGTGCAACTATTATAACTTCAAATAATGTTTTGCAGCTGGGGCACAGGGCTGAAATACTACATGTGGTTACTTACTTCTTTATAAGTGGTATCCTTCATATTACAGTATGTGTCTGCTGTTCCTCAGTAGGGCAAATACTGACAAACAGTATTTTTCTCCCCTTTAGCTCTCACACTTCCCTTTTAGCCAGATGTAACAAACTCTTTCCTAACCTATTCTCTCTCTACTGCTATATCTGTTGACACCAATGGACTTGTGAGTAAGTAGGCCTGTCAGCAGTGGATATTTTTCTCTTCCATTGTCGTTGGAATAATGACATCTCTTGCTTTATATGGTTTTGTGTCCTACAACTCGGTAATCCAATGCAGACCTCACTGTCTGTCTGCAAGACACCAGTCTGTAATTCACCTAATAAGCCTAAACAAAGGAAATCCCTTGACTTAAGGACAAGAATGTGTCCTGTGTTCTTAGTATTCTGCAGACTAGAGAGCAAAATTGCTCTCCTCTTTAAAGTCAGAATGATTACCCATACCTGCATGGCTATATTCCTTTAAAATGTAGGAAACAACATTCTACATAATTATTTTACAACAGCAATATTTTATGTGCTATTTTAGATGTTTCCCTTGTTTTTCATTTTAAGAGAAGAAGAATATAAACTTTCTAGAACAAAACATGCTGAGGATGGCTTTCAGCTGCCACGTTCTTAGCTTAAGCCAAGTGCCTTGGAAGTGCAGGTATGTTTACATCTGGGTTTTATTTCTGACCCACCTTTAATAAAGATGCAACAACAATACGGCAAAACACAACAGAACATGATAATATATGGCACATAATAAAGAACTGCCATAAGTACACAGGGGGCTCAATTTTGCTTTCACTTTATCTCTGCAAAAATCCATTGTTCAACGCTAAACCTTTACAATTGTCAGAGTTCCTTTTGGTTCAAAAAGAGACATTTTCCAGAGTAATGAGGTCACTGGTTCCCGTTTGCCATTCTACAATATTCTGTTTATTCCTAGAATCCCTGTTCTTTCAGCAATAGCTGATGCTCTCTGTAGCTGTTACTCCTGGGGGAATTGAGACTTTAAACATTCATTAAAAAGTGAATTGCTATTGTTGACAAAATACAGATGGCCAAGCATGAACTACTGACACCTATGAGAACACTTCCAGTGCAGTACATGGTGGTGTGGCCATGTGAGCACTCTGGTTGCTTTTACCAAACCAGTGTGTCCTTTTTTAACAGACTGGTCCTGCTGTGTGCTCATATTCTTTTGCCTAAATATGGCACAAGGTGCTAAAGTTATTTCTTTTAAAAATGAACTAATCTCTGCTTTAGAGAGTGAGAAAAGATGTGCTCTTTCACAGCAAAACTATTAGGGAACAATATTCATACAAGGCTCTGCTCACAAAATAATTACCCAGAGTCGAAGCTCTGCTTCAGGCTGCTGCAAACATAACACTCAATGGCTCCCAGAGGCTCTGTCTAAATGGTGGGGTGTGTGCCATAACCATGTCCCTGATCATCTGGGGGGGACCTGGCTGGGCCGGAAACTGGGGTGCAGGGGTGGAGGGTGGAAGGGAGTTAGCGTGAAGCCAGGGTGCAGCTGGAACACACACACAGACACACACACAGACACACACAGACGCACAAACACATGGTTGTTGGAGCTGGGAAGCACGCCTGTATTCCACAGGTTAGACACAGCCATAGCTTTAAATCAGCCATGTATTTAAATAGTTTCTTAAGCTGCAGCCGACAGACTTAGTCTCTGAAGACTACAGTTAGATGCTACACCAGGGTGTAGCACGCAGCATTACACTTGCATAATTACTGCACTCCAGGTTAACATGTGGAAAAAGCTGAAGGAAGGCTCTAGCATTTAACATTTTCAACTTTGGGAATAAAATGTGATAAGCTAAGACTGAGACAGTAAGATGAAACTGGTTGAAATGTTTTTCCATCTTTTTCAACACTTGTAAAGATAGATATTTTGGACAGATAGGTAGAAACTGCATTGGCTATATGAAGCTTTAGGTTATTTGGGGTTTAAGGTGTTTTGCACTTTTACATCTTCTCCTCATCACCAATAAAGCTTTCCTTTTTTTTTCTTTCTCATTTTTATATTTATGAGCAAGATTTTTCTTTTTTTTCTTTCACCGTTTTGCTACTGATATATTTAAAACTCTTCTTTTTTTTCCTCCCATTTTTTCTTTAGAGTTTTGTGGTCCTCTTTTCTCCCTCATACCCATTTTTTTTTTCGTCTTTTTGTTCCTTTCTAGGTGCAGAAAAGTGCAACTTGCCATTGTTTTTCTCTATTTTGTTTGAATGCATGTGTGGTTTTGTGTGTGCATAAGAGAGAGAAGAGGAGATACTGTGAGGCTGCCAGCAAAAATCAAAATTGGAGGAGACAGGAGAGCAGAGGGAGTAAGAGACTGTCTTATTGAACTTGGAGAGGAATGAGGCCCACCTGGGGCCGAACCAGCTATTGGGAAGATTAAGGAAATAAAATAATTATGGAAAGTTAGTGCTGGAATTGTGAATGGGCCTGAGAGACCTGGCTGAGGCTCAGGAACTGGGAGTGGTGGCTGCTTGAGCTGAATCAAATGCTCAAAAATTGAACAAATAAGGATACAGTAGACATGCTGAGAAATTGTACTTATGTACTTCAACTTGACTTTTTTAGCCTTATGAACTGAAAGACAATAACTCTTTCTTTTCAAAAGAATGGAATCTGAAAAATGTAAACCCAGGTCTATTTGGTGAACATTTAAAGAGTACTATGACCAAATAGCCAGAAACAAGAATCCAGCCCATAAGGAATAGCTCCTCCAATCTCTGACCTTTCAAATTGGAGCAAGGCTCTCGGCACAAATGCAGTGAAACACAAACGGGGTCAGCACAGTTAAAACAGACATAGCTGTGAGCTTAAGGTTCCTGCTTCTTCCTGGTTTTTCATAAAGAAGACTTAAGGTAATCTCTTTCTAACTGAGTTGGTATGGTCTGCTTCTGAAATTCATTATTCCAAAGCTAATGTTAAAATTTAAAGAACAGCACAGTAGCTTGAAAATTCATTTTGCACATAATCATCCAAATGACTCTAGTGTACACTACAATGAGAATTTAATGTTCTGTCTTTTACTCTGTGGTTTTTGGGTTGGTATTTCTTTGAACTTTCAGAAGTTCATAGAAAAACACAGATTTTAAGAAATAGAAGTATCTTCCAGCATGCACCTTTCTTTAAAAAATAAACCTAAACACTTTAGAAATTGTCTAATTTGGCTTCCTAATACACTTTTCATAACATCAAATAGATTTATTTGGTAGGATGTGGGTTTTTTAACCTTAAATGAGGTGTGGCTAAAAGTTTAGAATGATTTCCTCAGCTAGCATACATTGTCACAGCCATTCACTTCAACACTTTAAGTTCTACTTATATGAGCAATAGAAATAGACCAGCTTAAAAGGTGTAAAAAGTTGGAGGACAAAATGACGATGAGATGGTCAGTGCAGCTTTCATTATCATCTGTCTGGATTGATATATCAATTTGAATATATAAACATGCTACTTATGCCTTATTTTTCATATTTCTTTGTAGATCCCTTATTGGCTATTTTTAACAGAATGACTGGATTCATGGCCTGATGCTGTGTGTGCAGCTCTTTTAGTCTTATGGCATATAAAAAGTTTGTAAATACAGGGATATTTTAAGGCTGATCTTGTATAGGAAATAATATGATAGATAGGTACGATGGAACTTTCCTATGGAAGAGAAGCAAGTTTAATGCAGTGATAAGTGTAATGGAAAAATTCTTGTATTCTAAACCTCAGTGAATAACATCAACACTTTATTACTGAGGGATTTGAGGAAGGATGGAGTAGGAATAGGATAATAGTGATCAGAGTCGGACTTTTTTCTTTTGCAAATAAAGAGGAAAAAAGCATAAAAAGAAAAGCATCTCTTTTAATCACTGTATGCTACTTTTTTTCTAATCACAACTTGCATCACTGAGTATGAGAACAGGTTATTATGAGATGGCACAACTCATGCTACCAATTTTTGTAGGTCATACAGTCCTTACCAGATGACTGCAGAAAGCATAGGATTTTTAAATGCTTGGAGGGGCCCACCAGATATTAACTTAAGAATTATTGGTTGTGCGTAGAAGTAGGCTGAAGGCATTTCCTGCTGTGAATGACACTTGGAAGTTCTCCTTTTGCAGTACTGCAGAAAACAATGGCAGAATTTATGCAGCATTCATAGACAGCAGATTTCCCTAGACACTTCAGAAATGCTATCAGTACTCTTCAGTAGGGCTTCATATTTTGTTTTTATTGGCTGTATAACAATAACTAAAGTGTGAATGTAAAATGAATCTTATTTACTTGATCGTTGAAGTGTGGATATTGTGAGATACCAAAGTGAATTTTTTTTATTTTCTGTTCCGGTGGAGGTGATATAAATTTTCTAAACTACAGCTGATGGAAACACAATCAGGAACTATGGAGACTGCCTACTCTGAGATCTCAAGGAAGTCTCCATGTTTCTCTGATCTGACTCATGATTGGTTGCTATTAAACCTATGTGTTCACTTTCTTGATGGATTCAGTTCTATAAATCCTTCCAAACGCTATGATATTCAGGAGGTACAATATGAAAATCCCAGGTTATATATTTGGGAAGAGCTATCTCTCTAGCCCTGTATATTTGTTGATGATTCCATACCGCTCAATGTGAGTCCAGATCATATGTTTACTCACTGCAATATCTTTGATTTTGATGTATATTGGCCCATTGCCTCTGAAAGGAGTTTGATACAAGGTTGTCCCAATTCCCTTTTCACTGGGATAGGCCTAGAGATAGGCAAATATTTTTTCCCCACCTCCATGCAAACCTGGGCAATAGCAGGTGAGCATCACCTGGGTGCTTACTTTCCTTCTTTCTGTCAGTGGAGGCAGGATTTGGCTTATAGCAGTAAAAGGTGAGCAAAGGTTTTAGTGGAGAACCATAGCAACCAGCTGCTATAAATGAGCTGGCATGAAGGTTAGTGTGCCGACTGTTCAAGGGGGAGCAGATTAATTGCTTATTGAAAGTGCCAGGAATGCGTTTTGAATCCTGCTCCCTTTTCTCGTCTGCCCTAGGGAAAAGGCTGCCATGAGGTGCCCTTCACTTAAGGCCAGGTTAGTGGGACAGGCTCAGCACTCTGAGTTATTATTCACATTTTCCTTTAAGACCACAGAAACGGTTGCTTGAAAGCTTTTGAATGTTTGGATGTGAATGTATTTAAGACTGAAAATTGTGCTCCATTCATCTGAAAGAGTGTTGAGAAGTGCTGTTATATGTTTGATTAATTATGCTATCCCTGAATTTAAAATAAGTGGTGAAGGCTTCTAAATTACTTCCATTATCAGCATAAGCCATGGGATGGACTAAGCTCATGAGCGAATGGATACTGCATGGTTGTCTGTCTGCAGAAAAAAGGGGTTGGAAAAAATCAGAAAGATTGGTTTAATGACGTAGCAATTGCTTGAAGAACCAGCAGGAAGTCAGTCCTCTTTTTCCTTCTGTTTGAAGACTGAGGAAAGGAGGGATTGTCCTTCTTATGTCCAAACATATTCATGTACATGAGATAAGAAATACTACCGCATAACCTTTACCTAAGTATAGCTAACAGTGAAGCTTTACCTGGCTTATGTTAATGAGAGTTGTATACTGGATTTGGCAGAATCCCCATCAATCCCCATTAGCGTACAAAGGTCCACTAAAGATAGACTCATATTTTCACTAAGCCTAAGAAATATATGAATATTTTATTAATCTTGAAATATTCTGTATGTACAAGGAATAAACTGCTTAGCACTAAAATGCTTAGCATTTAATTCAGTTTGGGTATGTTACTAATTTTTGGTGCCATCTAATTAATTTGCAGAGGGAAATCAAACCCACTTCGATTGGTTTGTATCAGTTTGCATCACACTAAGCAGAGGAAGAAAGTAATTGGTAGCGTTAGTGCTACTTCTAAGGAGTTTTTAGAATTTACTTGACTTTAGGGATTAGCATGAAGTTAGATCTGGTTACTCCTAAAGTTGGAAATAAAGGAACCTCTTTATTTCAAAGTACAGGGAGAAAAAATACTTCCTAAATTCTATCATAAACCTGGGGAAAAAAACCCACTTGTGATTAAGAAATGCAAATTGACACCTTGTGAAGAAGCTGTATTGCTTTTGACCAAAAGGGAAAAAGCTTCTTTTATTAGATAGGTAAAAAGGCAGTGTTATATTTACAGGAGAGAAGAGGAAGAGGGAAGATTGACTGACAGTAAGCAAATTTACCTTCTGCAAGTAGGATATAATACTCTTCAAGTTATGGAGCAGCTAGAGGATATTTCACTGGAAGCCATTCTAACCAGTGACTGGAATAGGCTGCACGGGATCCTTATCTGTCATGAATCTCAAAATGTCATCAAGCCCACTCAGTAAAATATTTGGATATATTGGAGTTTGCCCAAGTACAAACCCCACTAGCAAAGCCAATGATTTCCACTGGTTTGGAGAGTTTTTGTATCAGGACCTTATAGAGCCTCAAGTAAGACCTATTGTACTATTTGAAAGTGTAGGAGGGAATGAAGTCCGATGTACTGGATATTTTATTTAAAGAGTTAGTGAACTGACATATGTTTATACTTACTACTGATAATATTTCTTTGGAAAACCCATCTAACTTCTTAACTGTACAAAATTGGCATCCTATATGACCTAAATTGGATTTGAAAATGGCATTTGGATAAAAATCAAAAAATACTCCTACTGGTTATATATGATTGCTTTATTACGTTTGATAAGAATGAAAAGCCGAAGGATATGACAGTCCCAGAGCCTGGCATGTAAAATGAAATTCCTGAATGTGAATTAGACAGATTAAACTATCCTTTAAAAGACCCTTGATGGAGAAAAGGATGTATTTAAAATCCAATAAACTTCAGACCTCCTTCAAATGGCTTAAAACGAGGTCCAGAATGCTTGCTAAGTAGGAACTCCACTGGTTTTGATTTAATATAAAATCGTGGAGTCTAATTTGAAAAAATCCTGTCACTGTATTCACCTTGCAGAAATAAATATGAAACCATATGGAGAAGCATATTTCCACAAATGTATTCCAATTCAAGATGAACTAACTGTATGCTCTACTTCATAATCAAACAACAACAAATTTCTTGTATTTCTCTACAATTATTAAAGAAAATAATTGCAGCCTCTGTATGACTTCTCATAAGCAATGCACAGAAAATAATGTGCTTTTGATAGAAGTTCTAAATGGATGTCTTAGTAATTTTTTTGTAAGGTAGCGGTGTCACAAGTAGGGATGAAGTATTTTTATGTTACTAAGTTGCATATATGATTGGCTGTGCTGGCAAAAGAGCACAAAAGAGCCTTTGTTATACTCTCGGTAGAGCTATTTATACATTGTGACTTACTGTGTCCAAGGACTGCTTCCTGCTTCCGTTAAAAAGTAGTCCCTCCAAATAAAATAAAAGCCACAAACCCTGACATTACTCAAGCCCTGTCTATTGAAACAACAACAAAAAAATCTCACATGATTTTGTATTGCCTATATAGAGTTCTCTTGAGTTTACTTAAATACAGTTCCAGATGAAGCATACTGTGAAAGCAGCGCCTTCCATACCTAAAGAGGCAGACAGACATTTTATTTGGTTTGAAAATAATAATGATCCAAGCAATCAGGTGCACCTACAGGGTATAGCTGAAGCTGGAGAGGACTGCAGCAGTTTGTTGTATAGACCATAAGCTCTGTTGGCAGCAATTACTCTTTTTGTCTTGTGCTTGAACAGCCTGAGGGGAGACCTGATATGTGCTTTGGTCTTTGTGAAGTACTAATACAATCAAACAACATAAACAATATCTATATCTTCATGTCTTCCCTCCTTGGTCCCCATGCCCACGGTCAACCACAGCTCTTTCCCCCATATCTGTATGTGCTCACTAATGAGTTTCACTTCAGTTTCATGATAGTTTTAAATATGATATGCCAGGTTTCCTACAACCTCTATGTACATCTAGGAAAGAAAACCCAAAAGAAAACCAACAAAAAAACCAGAAAATAAATAATCAGATAAGGTTTCTGTTCTTCCCCTTCTGGGAACACACAAGACTTTTTGTAGCCCTGTAGTTTTGGGCAATAACCTTACTCCAGAAAGATATGAGAAAAATTTCATCCCTTCATATGCTCAGTATAGACATAAACAAGAATTCCTAAAAACATGAATATTAGAAAACTGCTCTCAAAATTTTCAGTATGGTGTCAAAATTTTTAGTAGGGTCGCGACTAACTTTTATTGTGGCTTTTTTATTAGGAGGGAAGAAATTCCACTGTCCTACAGTTCTCAATCCTCTCATCCATATAAGGAAGTTTTAACTTTAATAATGCATAATGAGGTATATTAAAAAATATAGAATTTGGTACCTCAGCTATCTTTCTGAATTTTTTTTCCCAGCACACTTAATATGGTCTGTGATTTTTCTGTCTATGATCGTTCTATAGTGTGCCAGGGAGAACTCATTCACTGTTTCCTTGCCAGGAATAATCTAAGTGGGCAACAGGTGGTGGTGTGAATGGGAATGAAGTGAAAATTGGAACTATTTAACTGCATCTAATCCAGGCTTTGTATACATAATACATGTCTCTGTCCCCAGAGCACCCTCAAATTTCTCATTTTAAATGTGTTAATAGCATTTCTGGACTAATTTTGGTTTAATTAGTACTATTTTGTTTAAAAAGTAAAACAAATAAGTATTTAGCAGAATCTCTGAAGGCCCTTGATTCCTTTACACACATTTCTCCAAAAAAAATAGACTCCATTTAGCCTAAACCTTTTGCTATTTGCGTTGAAATGCCACAATGATATTTAGTGAAGAAAAGGGAAAAATGCTGTTGCTTATATTTACATTATGTGTTTTTTTTAATGACAGCTTCTAATATTGTTCTCATGCTTAAATGGCAAGGCATACTTAAATTTTCGTCACAATATTTTATTCACAGATATTTTCAGGAACAGCATAACATACACATAAAGACATATTTCAAGTGATCTGCAGGGTTTTTACTTATTCTGGTGAGTGTTAACCAATTAAACTAGATATACAATAACTTTTCTGGTCAGGCTGTTAGGAATAATTCAAGGACTGCTCTATATAGATCCATTATTTTTGGACTCAAATTTCATAATTATTACGAAACAAGTTAAGTTTTAAAATTAGGTGGAAGTAGTTTTTATTCACATTCTTTTGCATAAATCCTGAAGTTTTGTTGTTTTTTTTTTTCTTGTGTCAGAATGAGCTCTCAATAAAGTGAATGGAAGTTCAACTTTAGTAAGGATAGAGTAATAAAAACTGGATCCGGATCTCAGGATTTGGCACGTGGACACTAGATCTATTAAGTCATCTTGTCCATACTCCTGCCAATGGAGAATTGTTCCCTTCAGCATAATCTCCTGTGCCTTAGTCAGTCCAATTTTAAATGACTTGGGTGAAGTGGTTTCCATTACCTCACTTGGTTGAAGTATTACTTATTCCACAGACTAAAATAATGCTTTTCAAGCTGCTTCATTCTCATGGATCACTTCCCAATCCCAAAATTTCCCCCAGACAAATGCTTATGAGTGAGGGTAAGGAAAATGTGTGTAGAATATAAAGGCCAAAAGGAAAAAGTGGCACAAAGTCCTTCCCCTCACTCCATTTTTTTATGTCTTTCTCCTTGCTTCATATTTCTGAAGTCTGCCTCTTCACTCTTGCCAGTGAGACTTGGACCAAACTCCCTGAGAAACAGATCCACTGTGATTTTTTCCCCATTTTTCTGCATGTGAATCATTCCAAAACAGTCTGTGAGGCTCCCCCTGCCCCCCTTCTCTGCTATATCCTATTATTTCTACTTTTCTCTGTATTAAATTTATTTTTAGTAAGGCTCTGACTTTAACCACTTTTTGCTGACTCTTCATTATTCATTATCTGTCACTTAACTCTGGAGGTATTATCCTGCTTAGAGTGAATTTTTCATAGAAAATCCATAGAATATATTTTTTGCAAGTGAATATGGGTGTGTACAATAAAAATGACATATTTCAAATTATCAGGAATGCTAAACCCAATTGTAATAGTAGACAAGATTGATGAAAAAACCACTGAGAAAGGGAACAAAGATTTGTAGGCCCTGTTTTGTAATATATCACATAATTATCTGTATAAGATAGTCAAGGCCTCAAATCACTGTGCATGCAAAATGAAGTTGAAATACTCGGTATTGTAACCGATATTACTTGTTTCGGTTTTTAGGTATACGCACAGTAGATGCTGCAAGAACAAAGACTGAATTTGGCACTTTATTGAGATGTAGAAATTCAACAGCAGGAAATAATCTTCCTTGAAAGAAACCCCTATTTCCGTCCTCCTTTTTTTATACATCCTTTAGTAGCTGATCACTTAAAACAGGTGCTGTAATTCATGATTGGACATTAAACGTTTACGATGGATGGTGTCTGTGTTTAGAGACAACTTTATGTACCAGTGCTTGTAAGGCACTTCCTCTCAGGAATCAAATGGAATTAAGATCATATAGCACTCTGGCAGATTATAGATTCAAATATTACAGCTGCTTGAATTATTCATTGGAATTCATTTACTCAGTTCGTTTTAATATATGTAATTATTCAGAAATGAAACTTGATTCCTACAAATATGTTCTTTCAATAGAAGTGTTCCATAAAGCAATAAAAAAAGGATGCCATCTGGGTACAAAAATGCCTGAGTCTCATATGCTATCGGTGCTGCCCAGGTTTCTGGGCTGTGACAGCTCTAGTGGGAACATCTGGAAGAAGTTGCCAGTCATTCAAAAGGTCAAGTATGCCAGGGGAAGTCTGGCTATGACAGGAAGAAAGTCAGGGCAGGGTCCCAAGGCCATGGTAGGAAGTGGTGCCCAAGCACCAAAGAGCCTTATTGCAGCTTTGTTGGACTAATCAGGTTCTCAAACAGAAATGAACCGCTAATAACTCCCCTCCATGTGAGTCTGCTTCATGCAGAATGAATACTATCAGAGGTATATATTCACCTCTACTGGTTTACAAACCACTGTCTTTGCCGAGGTATCCATATTTCCCTCTAAATGAATTAGTGATTTCAGCTGTGTAAAGAAGAGGATTCCCACTCAGCACAGACCACTGTACTGAGTGCAATCAGACAGATAACTAATTACATGGGTAGAGATGTTTTAGAGATCCAACCATAATCTCTGGTGGGATGGCATATACAACTAACTCATGGTATGGTTGAATCCATATGGCTGTGTGCCCCTTCTCTTTTCTCTGCTCACATAAAGGCTTTATCTGCTCTGATACTCATATAGTGGTAAAAGCTTACCTATTTTGAGGTGCTTGTAATGTAGAGAAGAAACAAGCTCTTTTCCAAGGAAAAGACACATATGAACTTTGAAAGGCATCCTGCAGCATGTGGATTTTTTTCCATTGCCTTGTGAAGTGTTTGTGTACCTGGAATGTACCCTGCAGAGACAGAACTGTACTGAGATGCTTTGATAGCTACGCATGTTTTGGGTACTGGGCACGGCCTCTGCTCCTTTCTCATGCCAGTCTTAATAACTAATTCCTTCCATCTGGTAATGATTGCTCAGCAGCCACAAGGGAACTGCAGCACCTCCTCTGGGCACAGCAGAGGTAGTTTCTCCTGGCGGGAGTTGGGTATATTTGACTTTCCCCTTCCAGAATATGTAGGTAATCACCCTTCTTTCCTGTCCTTTCTCTGGGTATGTATGAACTATACAAATATAAAATACCTAGAATGCAGAACAAAGAAAACCTAGATTCCTATGCCTTGTCTCACATATATGAATACTCATGATGAACTGTGCATCATTAGAGCTAGATGTACTTATACTGAGCAAGAAAACCCTAATGCCAAACATCTAAGGTTTATTTAGTAGATTTTTTTCACTTCAGTTGGATATTTGAGTCCTTTACATTTTATTCTCAGTTCTGTGAGACTGGTAATTTAATTTTCATGCTCCTTAGCACAGGAACATGAACATCTATAAAAGCAACATTTTTCCAATACATAGTATAAATGATCTGCTATTCTAAGGACGAAAAGCAATGAAAAAAAAAAAGGATATCACCCAAGAAAATATTCGAGAGCCAAACAGAACCTGAAAAGGGAGAACACAGGAAAACAAGACACAATACAGAAGGTATGTCATATAGGAAACATTACATCCTCCTTCTGGAGACAGATATCGTCAAACCTGCTACTATCAAAACAAAAGCTTCTTTGACCATAATTGGTCATAAAGACTTTGGATCCTTTTCAGGGTAGTCCTCTGTTAAGAAGACATCTGGATTATCTTTACCTCTTCATCAAAACAGGTCTTACTGGTGGTAAGTTTAATCAGAGAAAAACTCATACTGAAATCTTTTATAAAGTTCCAAGTAAATTAATTGCTGAGAAGACAAGCCCTGAGAGCAGGTTGTAAAATACACTCTTATTCATGAGCAAACTACCCAGGGTATTGCCGTGATCTGGGTTCATTTGATATGTTAGTTTCAAACTTACCTGCTCCAGAACAAGCGTGAACCAAGCCAAGGCTTCAGACATTATTACTTAGGATGTAGTTATGTGCCTCAGCTGAAGGATTACAATCTGTAGGGCAGAGCCTTAGCTTCCCATGATCTAGCTTGCTAACAGCTGTTGACTGACAACTTAAAGCACAAACAGAGACACTGGCAGGTTTTTCCTGATAACTAAGAGAAAAGAATGCAATATGTTTTTCATCTGATTAGGTGTATGGTGATTACTGCTTTATTTTGCTAGGTTTTGGTGCTTTATCTACTTCCTGTGAGTACAAGAAAGCATAAGACAGACCCTCTTTCAAGAATATACTTTAGAAGACTTTAAGAAAAAAAAACCAAACAAAAAAACTAACAGCAACAACCCCCCCAAATGTTTCCATGCTAGAATCTGAAGTGCTTCAAGATCACTATGCAGAGCTCTGGCTGGAAGCCCACTACTAAGACATGTACTGTGAAGGACCTGAAGAATATCTTTGCTTTGTAGGTAGTGGAGAGCCTTCATGAAGTCCTGGAGTACTTTGCAACAGTCTTTGTCATGATGCACCAACTTTGGGTCCAGAGTATAGAAAAGATGGCAGAAAGTGGTAGCAAATGAATGAGCATTTCTGAACTGTGTACAAGGCTCTTGGAGCTGAAAGGTCTAGAGTTCTCCTCATTAAAGAGGAGATTTGGATTAAAATACAAATTTAAAATTAAAAATACAAATTAAAAATACAAATTTATCCTCACCTCAATGCATTCTTCAGAATCTGCACATTTGAACTTATGCAGTTAAACATCTTACACAAGAAGAGAGAGATGTTTAAACATCTTACACAAGAAGAGAGAGAATTTGAGTGACTGCCACAAGTAGTACAGGTGATGTAATGAATTTGGTTTATTTGCCTGGAACGAACAAGGTACTTTAGTGAAGCATTTGTTTTCACCAAAGCCCAGCTATGTTACTGATGGCCGTTGTGCTTTTGGACTGCAATGGAGGATGCTGTGCTGTGGGCAGGCAGTTTAGAGAACAAACAGGAACTTTTGTTTCCTTTCATTTAGGGAAAAGAAAACAAGGCAGAAGGAGCAATGCTGAGCAGCTGCCTGAGAGCTGCTTTGTCTCAGCTTCATTATGACATGATCCCTGAATTGGTTTTTGATAAAGTATATAATATGTCAGAAGAAATCACCAAACTATAGCTGCAGTAAGCAGTTTTATTTGGAATTTACGCTCTCTGATGAGATAGCAGTGTAAATTCTATTAAGCAGATCCTATGCTCTTTGAAACAGGGCATTGAAATCTGATATAGTACCTAATAGTGGAATTAACAGCGAATATGATAAGGCAAATGCATGGTTGTCAAACTTCGCTTACCACCTATTTCATCACATGGAGAGCAAAGAAATCATGACAGTACAACATACTGGCAGCATGAGAATCTGTCTCATTTAACATCGTGCTACTGTTGTCAGTTGGGAGAGCCCTTACTCAATTTGGTGCTCTCCACTGAATACTCAGTATCATTTGAAGCTGGTGGAAATCTGAGTGCTTTGTAGCATCTGCTTTTTACATCGTAGTGTTCTGCAACCTTAAAAACAGATGTCTGAAATAGTTTACTGTGCTTTTCCTCAAATATTACACAGCACTGGTATGTGCAGAGCACAAAGGATTATCTCAACAGCACTGTGTAGGTCTTCAGTCTTTAGTCTTTAGTTTATGATCTCTGTGATCTATTGTATGTAAACCTTTTTATGAGACTGGGAAGGGATGTAGCCTGAGTAAAATTAAACAGTGTACTATGCAAAAAACTAAAAAAACCAAACAAACAACAACTAACCAAACAAAAAATTTAAAAAGTTAATGCTCTTCTGCTCTGTAAATGGACAGATTGAAGACCCAAAATAGAAAGACTTTGGAAAATGAAACATTTTCATCAAGTAATTTCAACCCAGAGAACAGACAACAGAAGAATATGTCGGGGTTTGTGGTGACAATAACAGGACTCATCTTCCCTAGGGATGGAGGAAGTGTTCTATGCATTCTCTCACATTTTGAAATTTCCAATGGGAAAAGCTTAACTATTTTTATCTTGTTGTCTTCCAGTTTCTGCATCACTTTCTTCTGTGAAACAAATAGAAGTTACAGTCAAGTACCAGCATGGCTACAATCCAAAGAGCATGAGATACTTCCAAGAGAAATAAGTGACATATATAAGGTTTTGTTCAGGCATCTGTAGCATTGTTGATTATAATACATTCTTGTCTTCATGCCTAAAGAGTCATGCCAGCAGTAAGCCCTTATACTGAATAAAGAAGCATGCTGCTTCCCTGTAGGAAAATGCTAATCCAATCTATCTAATTTACAGCTTGGTTTAATGGTCACATCACTACTAGAGATTTTCGAAGTATTGTCATAAATGGAACCAATCAGTGTATAAGCCAGGATGTGAATGCTTCCACTTAAAGCCCCTGAATGCCAGGATTTGATGGACGTAGGGGTCCTAAGGACAAGATTCTCAAAGATACAAAAGATTATATCTCAAAATCCTGTTAAAGGAGCCACACAGGCTTATTTGAAAGGCCCTGGAGAGCAGAAGTCCGTGGACTCATTCCTTTGGTTTGCCCTTTCCCAGCAGTTGGGTAGCTGGGGAGTAACACAACTATTTGGGTATCTGTTCTCATCTAACGAACTTCATGTTGATACATCTTTAAATTAAGAAATGGGAATGTGCAGAATTTTCATAGCTTGCCACTTTGCTAAAAGATGGAATACATAAATTCAAGGTTTTATAGATTAAGAAAGTGTTTCGCTCTACTTTGGGCGTGCTATAAACATTGAACTATAAATAAAATATAACATTTTGTCT